TTACCTTTTTGAAAAACCAGGTTTTCTTTTGTACTACTGGTGGGTTTTCAACGGTGGCTGTCTCATCTACGGTTCCGGCTGGTGCATCAGTATCGGATTTGAGAGGGACTTGCTCAAGTTCTACTGGCTTATCTTGTTCGGATGACATGTCTGCTAGAAAAAAAAGAATAGATAAAAAATAGAATAGGAAACCTTTGACGGACAGTAGAAAATGGTATAAGTAGAAGGAAATCTAGGCGTGACAGAGGATTTTAAAGTAAGTTTTTTTGTTTAAGGAAGAGAAGAAGCCTATAACGTGAGCTTCTAATGAGGAAATTTAGAGAATGAGGATATAAAGGATCAGATTCAAAAAAATTCTATCTGACCCCCTTCCGTGTAAATGACGCAATAGGGCTATAGACATATGAATGTCATTGACATATGCAAATGAGAGCTCTTCCAAATGCACAGCACAGCAGAGCTCCGGACAGCAGATGAGGTCATGAGGCACGCCCTCTTCATCCACCAATACGCCTCCTACAATTGGACAACCACCCGCAGAGAATGCCCACCCCATATGATTTGGCCATTGGCCAAACTCCTCCCCTGTTATAGGGAATGCCGCTCCCACGGTACTCGATTTGGAACAACATTGGGATGTGATGTTTCGGATAGGTTTGAGCGTTGAGCTTTGTTCTGAGGGATGGGAAGAGAGTAGAGAAAAATGGGAAGGATACAGGCAAAGTGTTTCTGGTTATTGAATGACTATAGAATAACAAGGTTAGAACGAATTCAAGTTATTAGGCGAGATTTATTTAAGTTAAGGGATAAGGGTAAGGAATAATTTATAATTAAAATTAAAATAATAAACTTGAAATTAAGCTTGAACTTAAAAATCCGCTTGAAATTCAGCTTTAACTTACTAGGTTTGAAGTTGGACTGAAAGTTGGCCCTAAGCTTTACTCATTACATTTAGAAGTAAAATTAGAAAATGGGTTTTGAAATCTCAAACATCCCACCCCGCCCAAAGAATTTATGAGAACATTGAATATTGTCGCTTTGTAACGAATGCCTTTCTCCAATCTCCAAATTTATAATTAACACTACGTGAAAATATTGGGTTCGAAATAAAATTAAAGAAAGCTCTTAATGCAGACGTGGACTTTTGGATTACTTTTGGA